GAATCTGAGGAATGCATTGTGTAATGTGGATATTTTAACAATATCAATTCTTTCAAATAGGAACATGGAACATCTTTCCATTTGTTTGCGTCTTCTTCATTTTTTTTTCATCAATGTCTTCAGTTTTCAGTGAAAAGATCTTTCATCTCCTTTGTTAAATTATTCGTGTTTTATTATTTCTGATGTTATTATAAATGGAATTGTTTTCTTAATTTATCTTTCCTGTAGTTTGTTTCTAGTGTATATAAACACAACCAATTTTTGTATACTAATTTTGTATCCTGCAACTTTATTAATTTTACCTATTATTTCTAATAGTTTTTAAAAATTTATTTCATTTTTTTAAAATGATTTTTCTTCACTGATTTTTAGAGAGAGAGGAAGGGAGAGGGAGAGAGATAAAGACATCGATGAAAGAAAATATCAATTAGCCACCTCCAGCATGCTCCCCAATGGGGATCGGTCCCACAACCTGGGCATGTGCCCTGACCAGAAATCAAACTGACCTCTTGGTGCATGGGTCGATGCTCAACCACCGAGCTACACCAGCCAGGCAATAGTTTTTTGTTTGTTTTGTTTTGTTTTGTTTTGTTTTTGGTGGAATCTAGGGTTTTCTATATACAATATTATATAATCTGCACAGTTCTTTCTTTCTGATTTGGATACCTTTAATTTCTTTTTCTTGCCTAATTGTCCAGTACTATGTTGAGTGAAAGCATAAAGAGTAGCCATCCTTGCCCTGGCTGGTTTGGCTCAGTGGCTAGAGCATCGGCCCATGGACCAAAGGGGTCACAGGTTTGATTCCCAGTCAAGGGCATGTACCTGGGTTGCAGGTTCAGTCCCCGGCTCCAGAGCCATGCAGGAGGTAACCAATCAGTCTCTCACATTGATGTTTCTTTTTTTCTCCCTCCCTTCCACTCTATCTAAAATATTGATGGAAAAATATTCTCAGATGAGGATTAAAAAAAGAGAGTAGGCATTCTTATCTTTTTCCTGATTGTAGAGGAAAATCTCTCCTCTTTTGTGAAGTATGTTGTTAGCTGTCATATATGACTTTTATTATGTTGAGGTATATTTTTTATATATCCATTTATTTAGAGATTTATCATGAATTTTGAATTTTGTTAAATGCTTTTCTGTATCTACTGAGATTATCATATTTTTAAAAATTCTCACCTGAGGATATGTTGTTATTGATTTGAGAGAGGAAGAGTAAGAGACTGATATGAGAGAGAAACATTGATTGGTTGCCTCCCATATGCGCCCACAATAGGGATTGAGCCCACAATCTTTTAGTGTACAGGATGATGCTCCAACCAACTGAGCCACCCAGCCAGGACTCATATGGATTTTATCCTTCATTTTGTTGACGTGGTGTGTCACACTTACTGATTTGCATATGTTGGACCACCGTTGCATCCCTGAAATGAACCCCACTTGATTACAGTGTATGATTCTTTCAATGTAGTGTTGAATTCAGTTTGCTAGTATTTTGTTGAGGATTTTTGCATCTGTGTTCATCAGGGGTACTTTACTTTTCTTGTAGTGTCCTTGTCTGGCTTTGGTATCAGGGTAATGCTGTCTTCATAAAATTAGTTTGGAAGCTCTTCTACTTTTGGAAAGTTTTTGAGAGGATTGGTGTTAATTTTTTAGGTGTTTGGTAGAATTCATGAGTGAAGCCATCTGGTCCGGGACTTTTTTTATCGTTGGGAGGTTTTTGATTACTGATTCAATGTCTTTCTAATAATTGGTCTGTTTAGATTTCCTAGTTCTTCATTATTCAGGATTAGTACACTGTAAGTTTCCAGAAATTTTTTCATTTCTCCTAGGTTATCTAATTTGTTGTGTAATTGTTCATAGTAGTTTCTTATGATGCTTAGTATTTCTTTGTCATTAGTTCTGTCTCCTCTTTCGTTTGTAATTTTCTTTTTAGTTCTCTCAATTTAGTTTGTAAATTTCTTCCTGTTTACAAACAATAATGCAATAAGGATTTTCCTTCATATGTTATTATGCAAATGTGAGAGAGTTTCTCCAGGATTTATGCCTAGGTGTATAATTACTGAAATGTAAGATATATGGACATATAACTTTACCAAATTTCTTTCCAAAGTATGAAAGAACATTCTTCTGTTCCTCCTCTCCCATCCTTTGTGCCATTGTTGTCATACATTTACTTCTCCATATATTATAAACCATAAAGTACATTGTTACTACTTTTTCTTTAAACAGGCCATTATCTTTTAAAGAGATTTTAAAATGAAAAAAATAGGTAAGAAGATGGTGGCGGGCAGGACTGCAGCGAGGGAGAGTGTGTGAGAGAGTGAGCAAGTGTGAGAGAGAATGTGAGTGGATGTGATTGTGGATGACCAACCTTGAGCATTGCAGAGACACGGGGCAGAAGGTTCCTGGGCTGTGGATGGAAAGCAGCCAGCTACCGCAATAAGCGGCTCTTTAGCAAGATCCTCACTGCACGGCCGGGAGGCCCTGCCACTTTGGAAGATTTTTAGTCTTCCCTAGGAGGAGGAAGTGGGGAGCAGCTAGGGCTGAGCGACCCGAGTCCACCAGAGTGACTTGCACCATTGGTCCAGTGGACCTTGCTGTGTCAATGTGAGCCAGCTCACAGTAGCGGTGCCTGTGCATATCAAGGTGCCTGCTGCAATAGCAACCAGCTGGGAAACAAGCAGCAGCAAAATCCCAGGAGCAGAGCATCCTCAGACCCCAACAGCAGCAGAGGATTGGGACCTTAGAGCACCCCCTGGCAACAACAGCAGCAGTAGCAGTGTCAACCAGGAGCTGACACTCACCCCCAGCAGCAACTGATCAGGAGCTGAGCCCCACCAGGCAGAAAACTACCCCAGAAGCACACCAGCAGGATCCACACACTCCAGTAGCATATCAGTGGGACCCACATACCCCAGCAGCATACCAGTGGGAACACTAACCCCAGAAGAATACCAGTGGAACCCATGCACTCCAGCAGCATACCAGAAAACTACAGGTCACTGATAAAAGAAATAGAGGAAGATATAAAAAAGTGGAAGCATATACCATGTTCATGGATTGGAAAAATTAACATCATTAAAATGTCTATATACTACCCAAAGCAATCTATAGATTCAATGCAATTCCCATCAAAATACCAACAACATATTTCACAGAACTAGAACAAATACTCCAAAAGTTTATATAGAACCAAAAAAGACCCCAAATAGCCACAGCAATCTTGAAAAAGAAGAACAAAGTAGGAAGGATCACAATACCAGATATCAGGTTATATTACAAAGCCACTGTAATCAAATAGCCCGGTACTGGCACAAGAACAGGCATATAGATCAATGGACCAGAACAGAGAATCCAGAAATTGATTCAAGACAATATGCTCAATTAATATTTGACAAAGGTGGCAAGAGCATACAGTGAAATCAAGACAGCCTCTTCAATAAACAGTGTTGGGAAAATTGGACAACTACATGCAAAAAAATGAAGTTAGACCACCAACTTATACCATACACAAGAATAAACTCAAAATGGATAAAAGACTTAAATGTGTCTCTTGAATCCATAAAAATCCTAGAAGAAAATGTAGGTAACAACATTTCAGACATCATATGCAGCAGAATTTTCACCGATACAATGCCTACGGCAAGAGAAACAAAGGAAAAAATGAACACATGGGACTACATCAAACTAAAAAGCTTCTGCACAGCAAAAGAAACAACCATCAAAATGGAAAGGGAACCTACTATATGGGAGAACATATTTACCAATGACACATCAGATAAGGGGTTAATTTCCAAAATATATGGAGTGCTCATACAACTCAACAAAAGGAAGACAAAGAACCCGATTAACAAATGGGCAGAGGACCTAAAGAGACACCTCTTCAAACAGGACATACAAATGGCCAGGAAACATATGAAGAAATGCTCGACGTCACTAATCATCAGAGAGATGCAAATTAAAACAACTATGAGGTATCACCTCACACCTGTCAGAATGGCCGCCATCAACAAATCATCAAACAACAAGTGCTGGCGAGGGTGTAGAGAAAAGGGGACTCTATACACTGCTGGTAGGAATGCAGACTGGTGCAGCCACTATGGAAAACAATATGGTGTTACCTCAAAAAATTAAAAATTGAATTGCCATTTGACCTTAGTGATCCCACTTCTTGGAATATACCCTAAGAAGCCTGAAACACCAATCAGAAAGAATATATGTACCCCTATGTTCATAGCAGCACCATTTACAATAGCTAAGATCTGGAAACAGCCCAAGTGTCCATCAGTAGACGAATGGATAAAAAAAGCTGTGGTACATATACACAATGGAGTACTATGCAGCTGTAAGAAAGAAAGATTTCTTGTCCTTTGAGATGACATGGCAGGACCTGGAGAGTATTATCCTAAGTGAAACAAGCCAAGCAGAGAGACAAATATCATATGATCAAAATATAATTTGAGGAATATAATGAACAAAAACTGATGAACAAAAGAGACCCAGAGACATAGTAGTAGGGTACAGACTGACAAACCTCATAGGGCAGGGCAGGATGGGGGAGATTGGGAGAAGGGTGTCAATGGGAGAAAAAGGAGAAACATGTGTAACAAAAATAAATTAATAAAAATAAAAATAAATAAATAAAAAATAAATAAAATGAGGAAAATAGCTCTTATATATACTCACACATTCACCATTTCTGGTGTTCTTTATTCCTTTGTGTAGATTAAAATTTCTATCTGGTATCATGTTCTTTTTGCCTATACCACTTTGTCTAATATTTCTTGTAGTACACATATGTTAGGGACTATTTCTCCCAGTTTTTTAATATATAAAAGGTCTTTATTTTATCTTCATGTTTGATAGATTTATTTAATATCTCTTTTGTAGCTAAATGGCCTTTCCTCAAAAAGTGAACAAACTTAAGTTTTTGCTGAAAAACTTCAGATATTATCATTATTAAGTTTGTTTTATTTATCTCTACATGTTATTAATCTATCATTATTTGATTTTTTGATCAATTTATTATTTAATCATTTAAATTCAGTTATCATTAAGGAAAATAAAATACCTAGGCCTGATGAACCGACCAGAATTAAGCTTGGCAATACGATTCATACTTCAGCTTTGTTCCTAGAACAGTGCCTGCTAAGCACTCTTGGAATTTTTCATCCATTTCCTGGTTCTGAGTTGCATTGAACAGATTGTGCCAATCACCAACTTCACCTACAACACACAAAAAAGAGTAGACCCAGACATCTGTTAGAATATTTTTTCTTGCTTTTACCATTTTTCAGTGTAATTTTTCTCTTTGATATATGTGAAAATGGACACATGAAAAAAAAAATCAGTCTTAAAAACAAATGGAATTCCTCTTGTAAAATTAACAGTACCCATTGGGGCCTCCCTGCCCGTGGTGTGGTAGGGGGCGTGCTTTCTTTATATCACTGAGTAGACCCTTGACCTCAATGATCTCCTATATTCACTTCTTTCCCAACATTCAGGAATTAAAATTCTAGCTTTAAAAAAACATGCTCACCCGAGGATATTTTTCTCTTTATCTTCAGATAGAGTGGGAGGGAGCGGGAGAGAGAGAGAGAAATATCGATGTAAGAGAGACACATCGACTGGTTGCCTCCCACACGACCCCAACCAGGGCCAGGGACAAACTGCAACTGAGGTACATGCCCTTCACTGGAATCAAACCCACGACTCATTGGTCTGTAGCTGATGCTCTACCGCTGAGCTAAACCGGCCAGGGCTTCCTTTAAAATCTTTTGATAATTTGGGTTGAAGTTATAAGTTCCTTGTTGTATAGCCATTGAAATTTGCTTATAAAGACATGAGGAAATGGCCCGGCCAGTGTGGCTCAGTGGTTGAGCATCCACCCATGCACCAAGAGGTTGCTGGTTCGGTTCCAGGTCAGGGCACATGCCCAGGTTGCAGGCCAAATCCCCAGTGGGGGGCATGCAGGAGGCGGCCAATAGATGTTCTCTCTCATTGATGTTTTTATCTCTCTCTCCCTCTCCCTTCCTCTCTCTCTAAAATCAACAAAGAAAAAATAAACAAACAAAAAAAGACATAAGGAAATGTTTACATATATGAAGGGAATAAAATACAAAACTGTTTATAAAAGTCATCAACTATATAAAACACCATAGAATGAAGCTGGAAGAAACATGCCCAAAAGTTAAACCCGCCTCTGGTGGGAGAAGTGGGGATAATAATTTTTAATGCTTTTTCACTGCTTTCTGAATTTCCTATGAGAAATATTATTAAAACTCTTATTATTACATTATTTATTTTAGGATTTTTCTTTGGTATTTGCTTAATAATGTACAGAAAGGTTGCATTTCCCTCCCCACTTTAAAAATAGGTCTTCATTTGACAAAGTGTAGTAGAGTCAAGTAGATCTAAGTTCAAATTCTGACTCCATCATTTATCAGCTTTGTGACAACGGACAAATTAATATCTCTGAGCATGGTGCTCACATTTGTAAATGTAAGGATTTAATATCTTTTTGCTGTGAAATTTAAGCCCAGCAAAGGTCTGACACATGATAGAGGCCTAATAATTGATAGCTGTTGTTGTATGTGCTGCTTCTAAATCATATTATACTTTCATGATATATGCAATAAAATAAAACTGGCAGTCCCTAAGCTATATTATCATACATTTCCATAAGGAATTAGAATGTGATCATGAAATTTAATAAAATCAATGCCAGAGACAACTAGTTGCCTATCCAGTACTCATTTTCTTCTTCTTCCTTATTAACAAAACCCTAATTTTAATTGGGTAATAATGTGACCACCTTTTAAAAAATCACATTTCCCAGCCAACAGATATAAGAAGTCACAGAGTGAGGCTTCCAGCAAAGTTCTCCAAAGGGGTTTCACTCAGCTAATACACAAGATTCCATCTCTTGTCCTTCCCTTTTTATTTTAATAAAATAATCCTTTAATCTTAATGTAATGATGGAGCTCTAGCTGCTCCCTTGTCCTTACAAGGTGACAGGCAGGAAGGTAGAAGGGATGTGTACTCTGTGGGGCTGCCAGTGCCAGCTCCGAACATGTCCAGGCTTCTTGCGGACGGGAAGAAAAAGAAACACCGGCGTCATTTAGTCATATGGATTGCCTGTTACGGGGATACTGGTGGATGTCCTAGACACCAATGCAACTTTACCTTTGCGGAACAGGAACGGGCCAACAGCCCCGTGCGTTTCCTGGGACTTTGCTCGCATTGCCTGGAAGGTGCTCTGAGCGGAGAGAGTTTGAATCTGCTCCCCAGTGAGAGAGAATCCAAAGAACTCAGCAATTTGTTTTATTCCAGCAGCCAGATTCTGAAAACAAAATTTTATTTTATTATTATTTTTAATCCTCACCTGAGAATATTTTTCCATTTATCTTCAGACTGAGTGAGAGGAGAGAGAGAGATAGAGAGAGAGAGAGAGAGAGAGAGAGATCTTGATTGCCTCCCACATGACCCCAACCAGGGTCGGGGACCAAACTGCAACTGAGGCATGTGCCCTTGACTGGAATTGAACCTGTGACTCTTTGGTCCCTGGGCTGACATTCTAATTTCTGAGCCAAATCGGCCAGGGCTGAACACAAAGTTTTAAAGGATAATCTTCTTTCTATAAGAATTGTGCCATAAGCAAAAACACACTTCTTAGACAGAATGGATTTATTAAATCTAACTACTTAATTCATTTGTTTGTCTCTTTTAGATTTAATTTGATACCTCTGTATAAATAGTTGAGCCCTGGCCGGTTTGGCTCAGCGGTTAGAGCGTCAGCCTGCGGTCCTGAGAGACCCGGGTTCGGTTCCCGCTAAGGGCGCATACCTCGGTTGCAGTTTGTCCCCGGCCCTGGTCGGTTGTGTGGGTGGCAGCCACTCGATGTGTCCCTTCACATCGATGTTTCTCTCTCTCTCTCTCTCTGTTCCTCTCTCTCCCTCCCACTCTACCTGAACAAAAAATGGAAAAATGTCCTCGGGTGAGGATAAAAAAAATAAATAAATAAAAATAAATAGTTGAGATAGCCTTAGAAGATATTCTGTATTGATTTTACTTTATAGTTTAAATTTAAAATTCTTGTTAATATTTAGGATATAAATAATGACAGTAGGCATTAATAGTTTAAAACTTTATCTAAGATGATAGTCTTTTTTTTTTTTAAAGCGTCAGTTTGAACTAGCTGAGGAAATTAATATATTTGTACATGCTCATTTGAATTCTCTTTTCTTCTGAATCCTATTTATAGCTAATGTTAATTGCATCAAGAAAGTTAACGTTTAGAATCATAAAACTTGAAACTTATCTTGTTTGAATACCCTTGTAAATCATGAGCCTCCCTCCCCCACCCCACTGCCCCACCCAACAGTATCCTTGACCGGTGGAGATTCATAAAGTTTCTAGAACAGTTTCATAAACTGTATTTTATAAAACACTCATATAGCTCAGGATGGTTATAGATGTTTCATGAAAAAAAAAAAAGGAAAAAAGAAAAGGAGGGTGAAGGGTTGAAGTAAAATAAGCTTGGAATCCTCTGGGTTAAACAAAGGTAAGCCTTTTTTTTTTCCCCTCCAGAATCTCTCCATCTTTAACATGCCAATATGCAATGTGAATCTTCCAAAGGAGTATGCTATCTAATAGAGCAGTTATAAAATCAACTTTTGTTTATAAATCAACTTGAACAAGCAACTTCCTTCCAACCCCCAAGAAAGAATTATTAATATCTGGGGCAATACTAGCATTCTATGGAGGACAAGTTTTAGAAACATTATTCTAGACTAGAGGTAGAAAAGATTGAATAATTATGTTCTTTCATGTTATACAAATGCATCCTATAAACAGAAGAGCTAGATTATACTTGCTTTTGATAAGACAGGAGAGACTTGTGTTAAAAACACAATTCAGTTAGAGAGCATTTGACACACTCTCTTCTCAAGAACACAGTTTTTCACTGTGGTTCCAGGACTGTTTTTCCTCCTACCTCATTAGTTAGTCCTTCTTAGTTGCCTTTGCCGATTCCTCCACGTTTCCCCCAACTCTTTATATTGGAGGGCTCCAGGACACAGTTCTTGGTCTTCTCTTCTCTAGCCGTATACTTACATACATAGCTATGCAATCTCATGGCTTTAAATGCCATCTATGTGCCAGTGATTCACAAATTTGTATCTATAGCCCAGAGCTCTCTGCATTCAAGAGTTTTATATTCAACTGCCTATTCGACCTCTCCACTTGGGTGATTAACACACATCTCAAATGTAGCATGTCCAAAAATGAACCCCAGGTCACCCCCACAATTCTGCTTCACCTGCCATCTCCTCCTCAAATGATGGCAACTCAATCCTCCCAGTTGGTTAGGCCAATAATATTGGAGTCTATTCTGACTCCTCTTTTTCTCTCAGTACTTTTACCCCGTCCAAATCCTACTGGTTCTTCTTTTAACATCTACCCAGAAGTCAACTACTTCTCATCACCTCCACTGCTCCTTCTGGTCTGAGCCCCCACCTTCCCTTGGCTGGTCTCCTGCCTGCAGGATCCTCCTCACAGTGGTCCCCGTACAGTCTTTGCTCCTCTCCCGTCTGGTCTCACACACCAGCCAGGACGATCCTATTAAAAACAAGTCAACTCCTGCACTCCTCCGCTCGAATCCTACAGTGACTTTCCATCTCACTCAGAGTGAAAGCCAAAGTCATTTCAATGGACTGCCATGCCATTCCTCCCGCTCCACACCACATGGGTGGTGGTCTCACTGGTTAGCCCCCCTTGTTTCCTTCCTGCCGCTTACTCACACAGGAACTCCTACCCTAGGCCCTTTGCTTTAGTCAGTTCTCTCTGCCTGGAAAGCTTTTACCCTGGCTGTCCACTGGCTCACTCCCTCATCGCCTTCAGATCTTTGGGTCAATCGCATTCTCTCCGTGAGGTTTCCCTGACCATTCTATTTTATATGGGATTTGTCCAGCATCCCCACTCCCCACCCCCAGGCATTTCCAGTTTTTCTTGATCAGCTATGCCATTTCTTTTTTGTTACATATTATATACATTTTAATTTTTCTCGTGTTTATTATTTATCATTCTGCCCTCTTGCCTTCTCTGGTGAGAATGTAGCTTCTCCAGAGTAGTGAACTTTGTCTGCTCTGCTCACTGATGTATCACAAAGGACTAGAACAATGCTAAGCAGTCACTCGCCAAATGTTTGTAAATAAACAATTAAAAATTACACGGAGCCCTGGCCAGTTTGGCTCAGTGGTTAGAGCATCGGCCTGCGGTCCAGAGAGACCTGGGTTCGGTTCCCACTAAGGGCGCGTAACTTGGTTGCAGTTTGTCCCCGGTCCTGGTTGGTCGTGTGGGTGGCAGCCACTAGATGTGTCCCTTTCACGTTGATGTTTCTTTCTCTCTCTCTCTTTCTCCCACTCTATTTGAACAAAAAAATGGAAAAAAATGTCCTTGGGTGAGGATAAAAAAAAAAAATTATATGGAAAATCAGTTCACAGCTGAATGTATGTTCAATTAATCTCAGTTAAGACCCACCTATGGTTTTTCACATTCCTAATTTGGACCACCTATTATAAAAGGAAAATAAAGCAGCAAGTGTTGGTAATAAATTGCTAAGCATTCTTTTATATGTGTTAAATAACCAACCTAAGCACTTATGCATTGTTTTTTTCCCCTAGCACTATACCATATATTTGGAATATTGGAATATTTTTTAATTGAATGTACAACATGTGTTCATACAACCAGACATTATGAGTAAGTGTTCTGTGTTGTGCTTTATAATAAATCTTGCTATAGAAGATCAATAATCATATTCTCACCTCTTTCAGGTCTTCATACAGTATGAACTTAACATTTTCATCATCAAGATGTTTGTTCCAATTAATTGCAAAATCAAAATAGCTTCCCCAAGAAACTAAAAACACAAGGAAAAAAAAAAACTTCTTAAGGAATTTACATAACTGAGGTTAAAATGATAGATGGTTAATTTATACTCTAAAATATAAACTATATATGAATGAGTTTAAACAAGATGTTTACAAGTTACTACAAATCCCTGCTCCAAAAGAACTGGCATAAGGTAGTCCTATCGTCAGATTTTTGTTCATTTCATCCTTATAAATAATAGCACAACTAAGCAAGTTGTAAAATGGTTTGCTAAAAACTACCAGATAGTTATGAATATTGAGGTGAATAAAATAATTCATAAATAGTGAATGATTCATGAAAACTGACAGAGATAATGCCAGAACAAAATGATGAGACAGATATTATCTAGGCCAGTATTGTCCAATAGAAATTTAATATAAGCCATTATCTATAATTTAAATTTTTCTAGTAGCCACATTAAGAAAATCAAAAAGAAACAGGTGGAATTAATTTTACTATTTCATTTTATTTAACTCAATATACCCCAAAATATGATTACTTCAGCATGTAATTGACATAAAAATTATTAATAAAACATTACACATTATTTTTGTATTTTAAATCTTACAAGCCAAACTGCTAAGTTTTTATTAAAATCACTTGATGTGTGTTTTAGACTTCATAAAACTTTGAAAAAGTAGTTGCAAAAGTAGAAACAATTAGAAAGTAGATTCACTCAATTTGTACCAAACTTACTTTAAAAGTTTCCAATAAATGAATTGAGTCCTATTTTAAAATCTAAATTTAGCCCTGGCCGGTTTGGCTCAGAGAGTCCCAGGTTCGTTTCCTGCTGGGGGCACATACCGAAAATAAATAAATAAGTAAAATATAATAAAATAAAATCTAAATGTAAATTAATTAAAATAAAATAAATTAACTTCTCAATTGTACTAGTCACCTTTCAAGTGCTCGGTTGTCATGTGTGGTTAGTGGCTACCATACTGGACAGTGCAGAACTGACATTGATCAGCTGTGCTGGTTACTAACCGTGTGACTTGGAACAACTCCCTAAATCTCTTTGTGCCTTAGTTTCCTTATCTGTAAAATAAGGTTGTTGTGAGGTTTAAGTGAATTAACATGTCAAATGCCTAATTAATAGTACCAACTTAACAAATTTGAGCTATTATTATATCATTAATAATAATAATAATATTCTCATAATTATTATAATTATCATCATTATCACGAAGCCCTTGCTTGCAGCCAGGCAGTTTCTACATGTTTTATTTGTTGTGGCACATATAGTACGTTTCTTACCCACTATCCTGTACACTCCCTTCCTTGTTGCTAACCAAACCCTGATTATTTGGTTCTAAGCCGACCATGAGAAAAGTGTTCCCACTTTTCTGACTCCCTTAGAACTGTGGTCACAAGATATGGTTCTGGGTGAGACACAAACAGGGCTCTGCTGGAAGGTTTCTAGCAAAACTGTTGCTGTCTTGAGCATTCTTCATGACCTGAAGGTGACAGTTAGAGAGACAGGAGCCAACCAGAGAGCATGTTGTAAAAAACAAGAAGGGTCAGGCCAAGGGAATGTCAGAGACACTGGCTCTCATCACTGGGCTGCTAAACCAGTTTGGCGAGAAAAGGAAAATCTCTGTGTTTAGGTCACCTCCGTGAGATTTCTGCTCTTCCAAATGTACTATTAAGTGACACACATACATTTTACACTTTAATATTTAGAGCAATCCAATGAGATAGGTAAAATTTTTATGCCCATTTTTGTTGATGGGAAAATAGAAGCCCAGAGTGTAAGTAACACTTTTAAGCCCACGCAGGTAGTAGTTATGGGTATTGCATCTTTCAGTCAATCTGACACTAGGCCTAGTGTTGCCAAACAAAATGCTGTTCTGTCAACCTCCTGTAGGTCAGATACTCTTATAGGTACTTTACAAGTAAGAAAACCCAAGTTCAAACAGATAATGAGTTGCTCAAAATCACCCAGGCAGTGAATGATTTGAACTTGACTTTGAGTTCTAGCTCTGCTACTTAATGGCTATGTACTTTCTATACCTCTATTTCTTTCTTATAAAATGGGGATAATAACAGTATTATTCATATAGGGGTCTTATGAGAATTGGATTTTAATAACATGTGCTAAGGGGAACATGTAGTAACTGCTCAGTAAGTGGCAGCTATTTTATTTTATCTAATATTAATCACTAATATAAGAAGTGGTGAACCCCAATCCAGGCCTTCTCATTCCAAATCCTACACATTTTCCAATGTATTCAGCTGCCTCCATATATTGAATTTAACAAGCTCACAAGGCAGAAACTCCATCCAAGTTATCACCACCATATCTAATAACTGTCAATCAAATAATTAGGCCAAAAGGATGAACAGGGCAGCAAAGATTCCCTAAAATAGACTGTCCCAACGGCAACAGGTTTTTCATGATTGATGTTTCAGATTTGCATTAACTACCTCCATCCAATCCTAGTGAGTGGTTACCAGACAAACCAAAGCTTTCTTAATGGTGCTTCATAAACACCAACTGTGTACTCCCCCCACCCCCAACAGCCCAATCCCAATATTGAATCTTTACTAAGGAGCCAGTGCTGTGCTCAGTGTCCATGCATGTGGGATGGGATGACATTACTGTGCTGACCACCTTTAAAAGCAATCCTCTTAGAGGGACCTGGCAATGACTTCTCTTCTAGGCTCACCTGCATTAATTCTTCCTTCTACACTGTGAAGACGCAACAGAGCCACTACTAAAAGAAGGCATTTATTAATCTGTGGCCGCTGTACCCATGGAAGTAGAGTCACTGCTACTTACAGGCAGTGGAACCACTGGCAAGCGATTCAACTTTTTTGATTAGTTGTCATTTGTGCAATGGAGCGAAGACTGCCTGGCTCATAGGTTGTTACGGTCTTGAATGAAACCACGGATATATAACACCTCATTTAATACCTGGAGCATTAGTAGATACTGCTAAAATTATAGTTATTTACATGGCCTAACAAAAACTTTTTTTCCTTTCTGGCAAACAAACATCTGAGTTGTGGTTACTTAGTGTCATGGTTTTATCTATTTTTGTTTTTTATCATTGTGTTAGAGACTTAAGGGAAATGAACTAGAAACACTTCTCTGCATGACTCTTTTTTTTTTTATCCTCACCTGAGGACATTTTTCCATATTTTGTTCAGATAGAGTGGGAGGGGGAGAGAGAGAGAGAGAGAGAGAGAGAGAGAGAAGCATCGACGTAAAAGGGACACATCGAGTGGTTGCCACTCGCACGACCTAACCAAAGCTGGGGACAAACTGCAACCGAGGTGCCCTTAGTGGGAACTGAACCCAGGTCTCTCTGGACCGCAAGCCAACGCTCTAATCGCTGAGCCAAACTGGCCAGGGCTCTGCATGACTCTTTTATAAGCCTCTTTGTCCCATGTCTGTATGGTCACTCAATACTCATAGTCAACATATAAATTATCTAAATTATTATTGTTTTATTTTTATTTTTTGTTAATCCTCACCTGAGGATATTTTTCCATTGGTTCCTAGCCAGAATAGAATGGAAGGAGGGAGGGAGGGAGGGAGGGAGGGAGGGAGGGAGAGAGAGAGAGGCATCAACATGAAAGAGACACATTGATTAGTTGCCTCCTGCACGACCCCAACTGGGACCAGGTATCCCAGTAGTGTGCCTTTAACCGGGAATTGAACCCTCAACCCTTTGGTCCACAGGCCAACACTCTACCCGCTGAGCCAAACCAGCTAGGGCTCTAAATTATTTTTAAAAACAGTACTTTATTGTTTGATGCACAGAACTGATGGTGCTATAAAACTTCATTTAGAAGTTATTTTTGGGCCCAGGCAGTGTGGTTCAGTGGATTGAGCGTCATCCCATGGACTGAGAGGTCCAGGTTTGATTTCCAGTCTGGGCACATGCCCGGGTTATGGGCTCGATCCCCAGTAGGGGAAGTGCTGACTGATGTTTCTCTCTCACATCGATGTTTCTATCTTTCTCTCCCTTCCTTTGACTCTAAAAAAATCAATAAAAACATATTTAAAGAAAATAAAAATAAAACAAAAGTTAATTTTGGTTCCTGAATCCACCTTAATCTTCTTTATTTCTTTACCCTAAAACATCATTTGAATTTTTGTAATTATGTAGTCATCTGTCAAAGTAAGAAGAATTCTTTTACCAACAACTATACCTTGTCCTTTCATGAACTGTCTGAAGAATTCATCCCAAGAGCCATAGCTTGGAATATCAGGTACATCATTGTGGAAATGGAAAAAAGATACTGCAGTATCTTTAGGATTTCGAAATATCACCAATATCTAGGAAGATAAAACCAAGTTCATTGATTTAGGTTTGTGTTTTGAACTTTGGAAAAGTGTAAAGGTGAGCAATATCATGTGTCCTTTTGTATGCTACATAATTTTGTTAATATGTAGGGAAAGAATGATGCTAGGAAACAGGAATTGGAGGTGACAGATGGGGAAGTCTGGGGAAAGGGGAGAAAAGAAGAAAAAGAACACTAAAGTTGTAGGAGAGGATTCTTGCTAAAGAATTTAGACAGTAAAGAGGCAGATGTAGGAGATATAAACAGGAATAACGAGCAAGATCACAGCGCATGATCTGAAAGGCTAACCCCCTAAACAAAGTGAAAAATGCAAAGTAACATTAAGGACAATTGAAACAACATTAAAAGTTTGGTGTCAAAAGATCAGTGAATGGCAAGCCCACTTTCTGGGGCCCAAGGAGTGATGGGTGATGTAGATGTAGAACCTCTGACTTCTCATGTTATACTATCTTCTCTGATGAGGAATGAATTTCCTCTTCTGAACGAAAACTGTGAAATAAACATTGTAAAGAGCAAACTGAAACCCACAAGCACCAAAGATTACAGGAGAACATCTGGCTGCTCCAAGTTAATTTACTCAGGCCTTCTGGCCTGATGAGTTCCATTGAAGAACCCAGTATTGAACACGGCTGATGGCCACTAAGGAGCCTGAGATCACACGCAAGAGCTTCAGAAGACTAGAAATTAGCAGACTTCATTTCAGGTTCAGAAAGGAGGTAGGCATGGATTTGCAAAGTACAGATGTGTGAACCTGACTTCCATCAGGAGGTAGTTTTCTAGAGTTGACTAGATAGATGATCTGGGGTCACATAAAAGAGGAAGAAGTAACCACCAGAGAACAACATGGGTTCTCTAAGAACAAGTCCATGCTAACGAACACCAAGTTTTTCTTGGACATAGTTTCTAAATTAGTAGATTAGTTGCTAATTATTTCTCCTACAAAAATGGAAGATTGTAAACTAAAAACAGAAGCAATTAGGCATAGACAATTCATGTGCAAAGGAAGGAGGCTAAATAATTAAGGTAAACATGCCTGGAGATTTTTTTTTTATGGCATTTCCATTATGTGAGTAGGCCATCATCAGTTTAATGAGTGATTTAGGTAAAGATATAGGAGGTATATGTGTCATATTTGTAGATGACATGAAACTGAGAGGGAATTGGGATCTCAAAACACCTTGTCAGTCCAAAGAAACACGGAATACAATTGAATATAGATAGATAAGCTGGGGTCTAGGTCTTTCACTTAGATCTAAAACTCACCCCTTGGCCCAATCCACATATAGCAGATTTTTGTCACTTGAGGGTGTTACATTTGAGGCTTTGACTAACACTCATAAGTCGCCGTGGCTTGTAGCAGTTCATGATTTTACAAAGCCATACATTTGAACAGTGAGAGCCAGCTGGTGTGTGGACAAATCCCTGGCATCAACCGTTTCCCTTGCCTCTTGCTTTTCTTGCTCTTGTATTCGTGTGATAGTGAAACTGTTTCACTCCAAATCCAAATGTTTTATGAATTAGCTCTGTTTCTTATGGAATAGTTAAGGGGAACACAGTCAACTAGATTTGTGATTATATTTAATTACAGTGAACAGGGGAAATTATATGTTCAAGTGGCTATTTCGGATTTGGGAGATTCTCAATAGAAAGACTATTTAACAGAGCTGTCCAAAGTTGGTGTACGTGATAGAGGTGCTCAGTCATAGTCCAGATAGCCACTTAGTGGAATTCAAACACCTCGTGGGGATTGGCGTAGACAACCTGTAAGGTATTTTCCAGTTCTGAGCTCCTAGGATCCTGTGCCCCAGCAGCCACAAGGCACTAACTCTACGCTGCCACTTCCCTAGCGATTTCCTCCCTCCTCCATCATCTCCCCTCCTTCCCGTTACCATTGCAGGTATCTTAGCTGTTTCCCTCCTTTCACTTTCCTTGCTATTATTGCCCGAACCTCTCATTCTCATTAGTGGCTTTCAAGAATTTGAATCCTTATTTCTATTAATTCTCATCTTTGCTCCCGAGACAGAGAGAAGAGGCACCTAGAAATAAGGAATCGGGGAGAGACAGGTGAAAACACACAGGATTGGGTAAAAACTAATAATTATGATAATAGATCAATACTATTTAATGAAACAAGATTTTTAAACAACTAAGAGCAGCCAAAGCACCTATAATTATTTACATGAAGTTTGCTATTACATATGAAATTCAGAAATAACATAGTTTCAGACTTTAAGTAAATAGTGCTCACCAGATAAAACCAAAGGAACGCTTTTTGCTCATTTTCCTTCGTTGTATTCTTTTGTTAAACACTAAATATCCTAGTGGGGTTCTGAAATATCTTCACTACAAAATGGATTTTTAAATGTGTATATCCTAGCTGAAAATTCCCTTCATTTGATTGTAAGTACAACGGATATGTCTGAAGAAAGTAGTAAAAAAAAAGCCCAAATCTCACACTTTATTGATTAAAATTGTATGATGAGTAGCACATTCATCATTTAACTCAGATAGCCAATAGCTATACATTAAAAACTTCAAACTGAAATGCCAGTAGGAAAGGACACTCACTTTGGCTTTCTTCTTGAAGATGGACCCCGGTAATTTGTCATAATGGAGGTGAGTTGCCAAAATCCTTGGTGATGGAAACTGTTTCATTCTCTAAAAAACATAAACAATAGGGTGAAGGCACGCATGCATGTGCGTTTGTGTGTGTGTGTGTGTGCGTGTGTGCATGTGCTGTGAATCACTCCTAAGTTTAGTATCTAACTGGAAGTTTAAGCATTACTACTGCTGTGTCGTCTCTTCTTTCTCCTCCAATTTTTAAAAAATTTCTATTTCTTTTGTGGGGATGAGGAGTGGAGAATCATAAATGAATAAATAGTTAAAATCTTCTTTTGAACTTTCTTGGATACTGCTTATCTTTTTTTTTTTTTTTGGTCATTTTTTGAAAAATGTACTTTTCCCACAATCATACCAAATATTTTGTTCAAGAATGCTCATAATCTGCAATCCACGCTTTCACTTAATTTGTATCTCTTTTACATTCAAGGTTTTTAACAAAAATATTCAAGTCTTTCCATAGCTCCTTCAAATCCATTTTTAACATCTAGATCTATTTTGTTTTACCAATAAAACTCCATTCAGTCATAGATCCCAATAGAACCTGAAAGTGTACAGTCACTTAAATATCTGAGAAATAGTTTATGAGACAAATTCTTCAGTATAAGGACTTGGTGATTTTTTTTTGTAATCTACCAATACTTTTACTTATGTATTGTTTTAAATTTTATTTTTAGTTACAGTGTACATTCAGTATTTTTTTTTTTTTATTACTTTCAGGTGTACAGCATAGTGGTTAGACAATCACATCCTTTGCAAAGTGATCTACCATCCTTTTAAAAATGAAGTTTAACCTATTTAATCTGCCAGGGTTAAGGGTTTCATCTTAAAACCAGATCTTTAGTATAGGTTATGTGGGGGCAAGGGGAGGGGCTAAGGCATCGAGTATCTATTTCCACGCTTGTAGAGATTACTCACTGCTTGGCCAATTATGTCATAAGTGATAAAATGATATTTAGACATTTATATTCAATTGTTTTGGGAAAACTTAGTGAAGATTCCAACTCAAGCATGAAGGCAAAAAATGAGGTTTTAAAAATTAAAAAAAAAAATTAAATCAATAATATGGGTCCAAGTGATGATTAAGAGTCATAATACTTGATTTACATAATATTGCACTTTTTAGAGTTGGACATACTTTTACATCCATTCACAGTAATCCTCTCAGGTAGAGATATTGTAACCCCCATTTTAGAGATTAACAATGGGCTTTGAGGTTTTAAGCCCTTTGTGAAAAATCACATAGGTGGCAATTTTCAGATTAAGTTATAGCGTCCTTTTTCCACCAAATTGCACAGCCAAAAATCACATAAAGACATAGGAGAAATGCTAAAGTTTCTAAAAGGGTTAGAAAAATATCCAAGGGAAAAGTGGGAGTTAATTGTAACAAAACGAGATAAACACATAATAATATGGTCATGAAAATGTGTGATATAGTCGAACTGTGAGCAATGTAAAGACCAGATATAGCTACATCTTGTTTAAGAAAATGTATGTATTTTAGAAAAGTTTTCTGTAAAGTGAATAACTTTTCTGTGGAGCTCACCCTCTCACTTCTATTGTAAAACAAAAGGCATATTGCATGAAACAGTACTTTTGTTCTTAGGTATGATGACATTACAAACATACAGAAAATATCTTTAAAACTACCTTGAGAAAAAAATATAAACATTTCCGATTACAGTGACAAATTACAGATATTGAAAACCCAAATACCATTTTGAGTTTAAACACTTTCCAGAAGCCCTGGAGCTATAGTCATCTGTCTCACTCACCTTACAGAACACTTGCATGTTCATTTAGATGCTTTCAGAAGACTTCATTTTTACTAAAGCTTCCCCCCACCCTGCCCCTCACCCTTTTTTCTTAATCCTCACCCAAGGATATTTTTACATTTATCTTTAGTTGGAGGGGGGGGTGCGGAGAGAGAGAAACATCGATGTGAGAGAGAGACACTGACCGGCTGCCACCCGCACGACCCTAGCCAGGGCTGGGGACTAACCCCAATCGAGGTACGTGCCCTTGGCCAGAATTGAACCTGGGACTCGCTGGTCCACAGGCCGACGCTCAACCCACTGACCCAAGCCAGCCAGGGCCACCCTGCCTCTGTTTAAAATTAACTGGCTAGGCCAGGTAGAGGTTAAGAACTCAAATCAGAAAACTTAAATTCAAATCTTAGCTCTGCCATTTATTACACCTCTTGGCCTTGGGCAAGTCTCTAACAGTTTTACCTTTTGTAAAATGGTAAGACTATTCTGTAATATAATGAGATGATCCCTGAAAACCTGGGGATATGCTAAGCACACAATAAGTTGCAATAATTGTTAGTATTATACTTTCAGAACTCAAAACTAAAAGATCCCCAAAACAGAAGAAATCTTTGTTTGATAATTTGCCATAAGTTTAAAGGCTGTTTTGTACTAACCTGGTATTTTTCTGGGTCTCCACATTCAAGAATTGGAAATTCTGGATATTCATACTTTTTTTTAGAATCAGCAAATATTAACTCACTAATGATGTGAAGAATCCAATTTGAACCTACAAGAGAAATCAGACAAAGTTCATTGAAGTCTTGACAGTAAAGACTGTCAAGCATATACATCATAAAAATTAAAATCTACCACCATTCTGTGCCTTGTACAGTTGGCTCTTCTGCGTTTAAAATAACCTGGGCTATGGAAAGAAACAAAGGTTTGTAGAAAACAGTATTTACTTACACTAATATAAACTTCAACTTATGCCCTGGCTGGTTTTGCCCAGCGGTTAGAGCATCGGCTCTCAGTCCAGAGAGATCCAGGTTCGATTTCCGCTAAGGGCACATACCTCGGTTGCAGTTTGTCCCCAGCCCCATTTGGGGTCGTGTGGGTGGCAGCCAGTCAATGTGTCTGTCTCACATCCATGTTTCTCTCTCTCTTCTTCCCTCTCTCTCTCTTGCTCTATCTGAAGATGAATGCAAAAACTGTTCTCGGGTGAGGATAAAAAAAAAAAGAAATTCAACTTATTTCTCAGACTTCTCCTTTAACAAGAGACAGTACTTCTTTTTAAATTTAGAATAGGTTCCTTATAGAAAAATTTTATGCCGTGGTAATGATTGTTTATTATATATCATATGGACCTGGAGAGTATTATGCTAAGTGAAATAATCCAGTCAGAGAAAGTCAAGTATCTCATGATCTCATTTATTTGTGAAATATAATGAACAAAGTAAGCTGATGAACAAAACAGATCCAGAGACATTGAAGTAGGGGACAGACTAACAAACCTCAGAGGGAAGAGGGGTGGGGGAGGAAGAGATAAACCAAAAAACTGATATGTATATATGCATAACCAGTGGACACAGACAACAATGTGGTGAAGGCAGGGCAGGGCGGGAGTGGGGAGGAGGGGGTCAATGAAGGAAAAACAGGAGGAACATCTTTATTCAACAATAAAGATAAATTTAAAAAATAAATAATATTTTCAATAGGAGTATATAACTTTGATTTTATAAAAACACAGCATCAGTTAAGAGAAAAAAAACTAATGAGTGAAGTTGGCTTTAATAAACACTTAGAAAAAAATCGTTTAAAAAAAATCAAAAGTTGACTGTGTAAAATAGGATAATGTAGATTCTTAATGTCTTATCCTCCACTGATGAATGGTCATTGTAAAACTGGTTTGAGAAACTGGAGGATTGATGTTTGACCCTGAAAAAGAACCTATAACATGGAAATCATTTAAAAAATTATGGACATGGCCATGCTTTTTCTTCAGTCAAAAATCAAGATGAGCCCTGGTCGGTTTGGCTCAGAGGTTAGAGCATCGGCCGCAAACCAAAGCATTTGGGTTCGATTGTGGTCAAGGGTAAGTACCTCGGTTACAGTTCATCCCCAGCCCTGGTCAGGGTCGTGCAGGAGGCAACAAGTTGATGTGTCCCTCTCACACGGATGTTTCTCCCCACCCCCTACTTTCGCTCTATCTAAAGATAAATGGGAGAAAAAAAAATCCTCGGGTGAGGATTAAAAATCATCATCACCATCATCATCAAGATGAAACAATGTCTACTACTCTCGGTGCTCCGTGGCAACCGGACTTTCTTGCGCTCCTGTTTCTGCATCTACCTCCTTTTACCACCCACCAGCAGTCATAGTCACTTCACACACATCTCCTTCCTCAGATCCTGCGGCTCCTAAATTGAGCAGTTCTAATGATTGACTTTCCAACCTGTGCTCTTAGCCATCCTGCCCATCCTCCTCACTGATTTTTGGCCAGCTTCTTGCAGAGATGAACTGCCTTTCTCCCACCGTGGCCTAGCATCCTGCCCAAACTACGCACTATGAAAAAGCGGCCTTGGAGAACACAAGCTTGTCTTTACCGCACTTTGGATAAGATGCCAGCACTATGTCATCGCTTCTGGCTTCAAAGGTGTCCAAGGCTTGGAAGGTTTCTGTGGTGCACATGGTGACTGGGTAAGGAATCCCCTGATAGGTGAAAAGCAAGTGAGAAAGCGCTGTTTCTTTTGATTTTTCCAAAGCTTCATCGATGTAGTCAATAAATTTGGACTTATCGGCCATGCTGGCTCTGTGTTAATGAAGCTGCTCTGTAGGGGCAGTGATAGCTTTTAATGGAGCGCCTCAGGAGGGAGAATAAAGCTCCTCCCTTTCACATGAGAAGGAAGTCATTTACTTCTCATCCAACACCCACTCCCAGCTTTTTTTAATGCTCAACTCTGACAAAAGACAAGCCACAGGTGCAGAACAGGCTGAGGATCAGAGAATATTACCCCCAAGGGTTGATTATATTACCCTTATAGGCAAATTCCCACCCCCCACCATGAAGGTAAGAATGGAATCTTTTAATAGACAATTATAGATATTAAATATCTAACAAATAGTAATGTAACTGATTCAGGCATACGATTTTCTTATTAGCAAAAAGCAACAAGTACTTATGAAATAAAACCTCAGCTCTGTCTTCGGTTGATAGCTTTGCACTAATGGGATGGAGGTAATTTTTTAATTTATTTTTTAATACTCACCCGAGGATATTTTTCTATTTATCTTCAGATAGAGTGGGAGGGAGAGAGAGGGAGAAAAGGGGAGAGAGAGAGAAACGTCGATGTGAGAGGGACACATCGACTGGTTGTCTCCTGCACAACCCTGACCAGGGCTGGGGACAAACCGCAACAGAGGTACGTGTCCTTGACCGGAATTGAACCTGTGACTCTTTGATCCACGGGCTGACGCTCTACTGCTGGGCCAAACTGGCCAGGGATGGGATGGAGGTAATTTAGTGGGGTGGAAAAGAGCCGGTGATTTAGAGGCAATTCTAAACACTAGGCTCAGATCTGCCACTTATTGGCTCAAGAGATTTAGAAATCTGAAGACCTGAGTTTGAATCTTGGCTCTATCACTTGCTAGTTGTGTAATTCTGAGCTCACAACACACATGCAAAGGCCATTGTAAAATGGGGATAATGGGAGCTGCTCTTCTTGACCTATTTAACAGTAGAGTTGTAAGGTTTATAGAAGGGAGATGCTTTGTCAAGGGGAACTCACAATGCAATGGTGTCTCTTGTGCTCTGAGTCCCTTCCCTGCTGGTCTGTTTCTTGAGTGAGATGATCACTCTCTGAGATAGTCTTTCACCAGCAGTCACTCTGTTTCTTGTCCTTTGGATACCTTGAACCATCACTCTCACCTCATTTGCAACTTGGTGTGGCCCTGGGGGTAGTAGGAGGTGAGCAGAAGTAAAGGTTGCAACTCCTGGCCATATTCGTAACAGAAGTTGATTGTTCTCTGATTCTTCTCTATCCCCTTTCTCACACCTGCAGGACAGGCATGATGCTGGCCAGCCCGATTTGCAAATTCAGAGAAAAGCAGGTCTCCAGGGTTTGGTAGATCAAGACAACCTGGTGAAATAAAGCCACCGTTCCATGGCCCACCCTCCAAATAACCAATCTCCTTCTAAACTGAATTGGAAAGGATACGATTGTCTTATCGTGTTGGACCCACTAAATTTTTAGTCTCTTTGGTACAGTAATTTAGCCTATATCCTAACTAGTACACTTTCTGGGTCAAAATTTACTCTTTGTCCTCTTCTTTTTATATATATATATATATTTCTTTATTGATTTGAGAAAGAGAGAGAGAGAAACATTGATGAGAGAGAACATCCATCAGCTGTCTCCTGCACGCCCCCCACTGGGGACTGGGCCCACAACCTGGGCATGTGCCCTGACTGGGAATCGAACTGGTGACCTGTTGGTGCATGGGTCGATGCTCAACCAGTGAGCCACACCAGCCGGGCTTTGTCCTTTTCTTAAGTCATGTATCCACAAACATAGGCTGAATTTTCTCCTTTCTCTCCCATTCTCTTCTCCACATCATTCTTATTCTTCTTCTTCCATTTTTATCCCCTCCAATCCCAGGAACATAGTTTTATAAAAACTCTATTAACCCTGGCCAGTTTGGCTCAGCATTTAGAGCATCTAACAAAAACTGATGACTTGTGTGTACCAGACATCCTTCCAAGCTGGTAAGATTACATGGATGATTGACTGTAACTTCATATTCATAGTAGTCCTATGAAATCAGTGTTACTACTGTTACCACTTCCCAGGTAGGTTCAGCAGAGTTTTAGGAGCTAAGAAGAGCTGTTTCAGAAACTGGGCCTGGAATGCAGGCTGAGTTTCCCCAGCAAGAAGGCAATTGCAGCGAGAGCTTTCTTAGAGGTCCCAGGTGTAGTCAGCGCCATGGTATTCTTGGTGCTTCTTCACCTGCTAAAGAAGCCAGGCCACAAGACTTTTCACTGAAAAGCAAAACAAGACAAAACTCTCATGTTCTGAGGAGAGAGATTTTTATGACCACAGGGGAAATAAATTTCCTGGGTTCAAGAACACTTTATTTAGTAACGGCATTTTGGGAAATCAGTCAACTGTACACGGCAATTGTGAGATGCATTCTAATTTCAGAAATGTTAACCTATGGAAACACATGCATCCTAGAATAGAGGAAATTTTCTATGTCAACAGAAAGTATCTTACTGAGGCAGTGGTGGACGTAGGAGGGCAACTTTTAATCTCCATTTTGAGAGGAAAGAACTGACCCAAGTGAGAGCCTAATTAGGAAAAGTTATGTGGGTTTCATTATAGTTGATTATATTTTTTAAAGTTTGCAAACAGGTAAAATTAGAATATGAGAGTGCCTTACTATTTTTTTTAGTTTCCATACAGCGCTTCTCCTGGAAGGTCTTATTACCTTACATAATAAGAGGATGCTGTTCACTGTAGGTGGGAAAGTTGTGTATTTCATAATCCCCCCCCCCCCCGAAAAAAGGGTAGGGCTGGACTCTCTGCCAAGCTGCTTAGTGGGGTTGTCCCTTACATTGTACAGAGTCTTTGTTTCCTTGGGGAAGAGAGAATTTAAGACATTAATTCAAACGTTGTTATTGTCCTTTGCTTGCATCTTAGTGAGTAAAACATTAAAAAAAGACAATGTGGCTGGATCCTGTTCTGACACTAATGCCTGTAATTATAGGAGGATTCTGGGGCTGTTTTGAATGGGTAATATGAACATTGATTCTTGTTAGTGTCCCTAGGCTCAGGGCAACCTGTCATCCTCACAATTCTACATACTCGACTCTAATTGTTGTGTGCATGAGGGGAGGACACAATAGTAGGAATGATAGCAAAATAGCCTAGATTGCATGATGCGTTTGCGCTGGTGTGCGCCTTTGAGTACAGGTGGGCTTCATGTTCTATGAGATCCTGGCTTGCCCTTTAGCTCCTGGTTCCATTCAGGCCAGGGGAAGTGGTGGACTTCTCAGATACCTCTCGTAGAGTGCTGTCCTGGCCTGGCTCATGGCCCTGGTGACAGCAGCCTAGGAGGGTTATTTAAAGCTCCTTTCCTTGAGATTAAAGAGATCGTCCCTACTTACCCTCTTTGTCTTTTTTTTTTTTTTAGAGGGAGCGAAAACAGGTGACAAAAACACCTAGGGTGATTAAAATCAAGCCTGATTAGTAAACCAGGAATCAAGTAGCAGATAGTGACCGTGTGTCAGTTGACCCAAGGCTGGTTTTCAGGGGCTTGGAAATCAGCTCCTTCAGTTCTATCTTCCTCTCTGTGTGGTGCGGTGCCCCCTCAGAGACTTGTGCCTTTTTCCTCTTCTTTAGCAAGGGACATCTTCTTCCCAATGGAGTTTGGGATTGAAATTAACCTTGGAACCCTGAAGGTAGAGAGAGGGTATAATGTCTTTGTATTTGGGGAATTTACTTAAACGGGCTCCCCTCTTCAGAAGTTGAACACCAGGAAGGCAGGGCGGGGTCCAGGGGATAGTGGATGCTAGAAACATTTGGGATCCCAGGCCGCTGATCTGGTAACTCTTTGGCCTTCTAGATAGAGGGTAATGGAGAACCACTCCGCTCCAGGACTGGCAGCTGGCTGAGCAGGGGTCCTGCTCCCCACCGTCCTGCTTTGGGGACAGTGCCTCCAGAGGCTATAGCTCTCCACTTCTCTGTGTGTCCTGTGGCCATATGAAGGGAAGCCTGGGCCATTACCAAGATCCTGGGCTCGCTTGTCCAGTAGGTGCCCTTTGGCATCCAGCATCAATGGATCATCTAGACTAACCTAGACTGCCTGCTGCCTTGTGTCAGGTAATTAAAAGAGCTTTACCTTGAGGACCCCAGCCAGGATGGTTAGCTGCTCTTCCTCCAAGTTGAACATGAAAGAACAGACAGCAAACTTTCTAGACAGTGTTAATGTGGAAATCACCACTGCCTTTGCACTTATGACGACTACTGGGACTTTAGCCTGGGGCATGATGCAGCAAGGAGAATGTCCTTAGTCACTTGCATCCCTCTGCCAGAGTTTGCAAATCAGGATCACACTAGGAAAGTACAGCACTCAAAGGACCCTTTGGGAAGGGTGCTGGAGGCTTAGAGAAGGATCAACCAGATTTCTGAATGGAGGAATTTGAGCAATTGCACCTGGGGCTGGGATGGGGCAGGTTAATTACCCCTCACCCAATTATGTGGAGGCACAGCCCTTACACCTCCTATTTATGAATCCTTCCACTTGACACTTGTGAGAATCAGTGCCACTTTAAAGATCTGCCACCAGAGTCTCTCCCACCTGCCCCAACACCCTTGCCCTCTACCCCAATTCATTAATTGAATTAACTTGATAAGAGTCTCCACCAGAGTCTAAACTTTTCATGCCTGAAAACTTGTGGCCAAATGGTCCTTACCCCAAAACATACTTGTGAAATCTATAGTGAGGTCCAGGATGTGAAAGAAATGAGTATGAGGATGTCAAGTTTTGTATAATACTGTTAAAAACCCACCCCAATGAATAACCTCCCTTAATTAGTTTATATACACTCTCCCGTGGAAGTGATTGAGTTTCTGTGGAATTATTTTAGTCTGTTATCAAGTTTTATTTTCTTTTTTCAATCTGAACCATTTCAATGACTTTTTTGTCTTGTCATCCTGGTACCTCTAATACTGATGCTCTGGCATTTCAAATTAAAGTAGGGCCTGGCACAGAGTAGTGTATACTCTGTGTACACACACACACACACACACACACACACACACACATATATGGTCATTTAAATATATAATATCATGTCATTAAATATATATCATGTCATTTAAATATATATCATCTCACTTAAATATATAAGATATATATTTTAAGCAAATTGTTGATAGGGGTTGCTTTCAAAATGAGAACTATTTATTGTGGGTGAGTTTTTGAATGGGATGAATTTCTACAGATTGCAGATATCCTGGTGGGAGGGGAGAGAGGAACCTCAAGAGAGTAGACGATGCCTGGTGGTAGAGTTCTAAAAAGTTTTGAGAAAAATTGGTTATAGCAGCAAAAACAGTAACAGATAAAATAAAAAATAACAGTGCAATAAGGAGAACTTACGAGAAAAGCTTGAGAGAAAATCAGGTACATATTGTTGTAAGGTGTCAGTGAGATAACCAGAGAGGCCCAGCTGAATTGTAAAGGAGCACTTTATTCACCAGTGGGCTGAAGGGGGTTCTCCCCAAATCGAGAGCCCTGAGCCTTCTTTGTTGCCCGCTTATATAGACACAAACTACAGAGGAAAAAAACGACATTCTTGGTGCAGCTTTTGGCACTGTTAAGGGTGGGGGGGTGACTGATAGAAGGGGGAACAGGAGCAGCTGTTAGAGGTCAGGGCAATCATTAATCTCTTTCTTCTCATGGTTCCTCTGAGTTTCCCAAGGCCTTCATTAACCCCTTATCTTTATAGTTTTCTTTGGGTTTCTCAAGGCCCTTATGTTTACAAAAAAGAAACTGCCAGGGTGTATACATGCAGTAACTGAGGGTCAGAATGGAGTTATTACAATATTAATAGAATGGAGGTTCAAGCCAGAAGTAGTTTCTACAGAGCAAATAGGGGAAGTCAAGAGACCGTACCGAACACAAACGGTTAAGAGGATACCAGTAAAGTTGATGTAGTGGAAGAGATTGGGGCTCTGGATCTGTGTAGGCCTGAGTAATCTTGACTAATAATGACATTATTAGCTCTAAGTGAATATAGTTTATGTATCCGCATTTCCCACAATTTATGGCAGTTTAGTTGTGCAAATGAACCACATGTCCTGGACTGTGGGGGTTGGGTAGGAAAATTGGGGCAGTCAGGGAGAGCTTCAAGGAGAGGGACATCCTTTACCTGACACTGTCACTGACAGCTCCAAGTATCACCCCTTCTCTCAAACCTCACAGATTCCTTAGATCAGAAGCAAGTCCTAATAATTGTGTGCTCTTCGTTAGTTATTTGTGGATATGTTTTACCCTCCACTGGACTACAGTGTCAGGAAAGGCCAACCTGTGTCTATTCGGGCAGTCTAGGCTTTGTTTTGTACCTGGTACTTCAGCGGTCCTTTATATCTCTTTTCTCCCTAGCCCCCATCTTTATCCTAAATTGTGGGCATTACAGGCAGTGCTTCTCAAATTTTAATTTGCACCTGAATTGTCTAGGGAGCTGGCTAAAATACAGATTTTGATCCAATAGAACTGCAGTTCTAACGAGCTCCCAGGTGAAGCCAATATTGTTGATTCTTGGAGACTCTCACACTGGGGTTGAAGAGTGTAGAAAGATGTTTGAGTACAGGCTTTGAAGTTAGCCTCCTTGGTTCAAATCCGAGTTTTCTCTTATTAGTTGTGTGGTTGCGGGGTAAGCCGTCCCCCTTCTCTGTAAAATGAGATACTCACAGCATAGGGCTATTTAGGAATCGAATAAAAGAACGTATGTAGGCCGCAGTCAGGACAGGCTCCTAGCAAGAGAATAACAAATGACTTGCGGTGTGTGGGCGGGGCCAACGCCGGCAGGGGCGGGGCTCTGCCAACCCTTGCTCATGCGCAGTCCCGCGTGTACGTGACAGGTAAGACAGCAGCGCGGGGCTCCTGTTCCAAGGCTTGCCTTGGGCTACCCAGAGCAGGGAGTGTGGCAAGTTTTTTGGGGGCCGGGGGGCCTCGATAGAATTCTGGGGTCATGCTGAGGACACTCGAGTGTCCCTGTCTCTAGTCGGGCGGAGCGAGCGCGGGCCTGGTCCGAGTGTTTCCGGGTTGCTCGGCGACCTTGGCCCCGCGGCTGGGACAGTGCAGGCCGAGCTGGAGCTGGAGCGCCCTGGGATCCCGGGCGGGGAGAGCCGGGGGAACCAGGGTGCAGCAGGGAGCGGGGCACACGGGGGAGCGGGGGCTGAGGGGCTGAGGAGCGTGGGTAGCCGGCCTGAGGGCGTGCGCAGGCGCCTCGCAGGTTGCTTGGCTCCTGATGTGGGAACCTGGAAAGACGCCTTTTGCTAATTAAACCCGGAGAGGTAACTGAGAAACCCTGTTCATCATTATCTAGACTGTGAGAGACCTCGCTGTGTGAAATCATGTTGTCTGGAGACACTGAGCTGTGTTGGTTTCCAGTTTTTTGGTTTTTTTTTTTTTTATCCTCACTGGAGGACATTTTTGCATTTATCTTCAGATAGAAGGGGAGGGAGACAGAGAGAGAATCATCGTTAGGAGAGACACATCCAGCGGCTGCCACCCACAGGACCCCAACCGGGGCCAGGGACAAACTGCAACTGAGGTACGTGCCCTTAGCAGGAACCAAACCCAGGACTCTCTGGTCCACAGGCCTAGCTCTAACTGCTGAGCCAAATCGGCCAGGGCTGGTTTCCAGCTTTGGTGCACAGTTGAGGGGTTTTCCAGATGCAACATTGAACATTGTCTTTAGCTCGTGTGCCTTGAGTCAGCTTCTCAGCCCAGTGTGATGTTAACCCCAGGATCACAGCCCTGCTTTTCTCTGAGCCTATCAGAGGATGGCTTTATTTTAAACTTCACTGAAGTTCCATCCTTCTCAAAAATCTTGTCCACTCTTGTTTTTCCTCTGCAAGTTGGTAACCAAACTTTGGACAGTATGCCTCTGGTGGTCTTTATCACATGGGCTTTATCAGTCATTATAAACACCTCTACTGAAGCTGCGGAACTTGCAATGTGAAGTGTGTGTGTGTATGTGTTTATATATATACACATACACACATTTTCAAGAAAGGTAAATGATTTATTATACAGTGTTATTTGGACTTTATTATTTGAACCCTTAACCTCATCCTCTCCAACAGAACAAAACAAAATCTTAGACCAACGAGACGGACCAGACTCAGACTCCGAACTGGGTTCAAATTAAGAGAGCTTTATTAGCCGCGCTGTGACTGTCCCCTCCTACGCAGAAGAGAGAGCAGCCCCGAGCTCGGGGTGGGTTGCTTATATAGTTGTCTTAGCCCCTGTTAAGGAATTTGGGTTAAGGGTATGCGAGCAAGCAAGCACTACAGAAGCAGATATTTGCAGTTAGCTGTTATGCCTGAGGGAATGAGCAGTTTCTGTGTACCCAAAGCAATGGTTATCTATACAATGCAGTGGTTATCTGTTAGCAGATAGTTCTTGCCATTCCCTTAAAATCCAGGGGGTAAGGTCATGTGTTTGTCTTTTACACTTGGATTCCTTACACTGTGAGTCTGGCTACAGGCAGGCCTTGTTTTGTTCTCTTTACCCCTTGGACATTAAAAAGAACCCCAAGAGATCCCCCTGTACTGATCAGGATTTATTTCCTGTTAGTAATGTACAGCATTGTAGTGACCAGCAAAACAACTCTCCCCACCCATTCACCTGCCTGATGGTTATAAGTTCTTCTTTTTAACTTCCTCCGCTTCATTTTTTTTAGGAAAGAAGAGTAAAGTTTTAATCTCTTAGTCCTCAGGGTGATCACATTATCTAAATGAGAGAAGGTGTTGTGGCGCTAGAGTCAAAGAAAGACCACTAGAGAATTGAAGTCCAAATAAGAGCCATTTATTAGCCAGCTGGCATCTTATTCCGAACACCCCTGTGACAGAGTCTTTGGAATCAGCCTCGATATGCTTTATTACTTGCATTTTATACCTACAGAAAATAGGACCTTCTTAATATAATGCCCAGGGCCACAGCAATGCTGTATGGAATTAGTTTGCCTTACAGATAACAGGAACATCCAGGCACACCCAGGTATTTCAGGTATTGCAAGGTGCATTGGGTCACACTTAGCCCCGAGCTGCACAAACACAATGCAGGCATAATTCCTTGAGATTTTGGGGAAGGTCCAGTCTGACTCAAGACCTCCAGGCTCCGTGGACTCTGTCAGACACGTAGCTGGCTCCCAACAATTTCTTGGTTCAGGGAGTATTCCAATTTACTGAGGTTATTTTGACTAAACAGGTTCAGCTAGAGGGCACACAGTGACTTTCCCAATCATCAATTAGGAGCAGCACAATAATTTACCAATAATCAATTATGGGGTTATAAGCATGCTAGCACAAAGGGAATTGGGGGGAAAGTACTAGGATAATCCTACAAAGGTAGGGCGTTTAATTATCCCCATCCCCATGTGTTATGAAAAGGAGTCAGAAGTGAATGGAGTAGAGGCGTGACAGTGAGCTGAGCTGGGACTGCAGAGTGTTAGAGAACATACTATCTACACAAAGGACAGAGAGCAGTGTGACAGAGTATACATAGGACAATATCAAAATACTGAGATTAAGAACGACTGGTTCTCCCATTGTTTTTGACTTTGTGGTTATAAGGAGGCAGAGTAAAAATTTGGGTTTATACTTCATATATTCAGTAAGAGTTATATGTGCTATTTTCTTGTTACATATAGCTCTTTGTTTAGCTTTTAGAGAAAGAGAATGAAGACTCAAACCCTCTCCTTTGGATAGCTTTTATTTTAATTACAGGGAGAGAATCAAGATCTAAAGTCTAGTCTTGCCACTTATTGGGTGATGTAGGTCAGTTTTCTTCATTTGGTGTAGGGGCCTCTTATATAAACATTAATTGTAGTTGCCTGCTACAGGACAAATTACTGAGACACCAACCCTAGAGTTGGTAAATCAGAATCTGGAGATTGGGGAATTGCAGATTGAGGCCCAGGATGTTCATTTTTAGTTTGAAAATAATGTTAGAATGGTAGCTTTTCAGGAACAAGAAGCAGTTATTGCTCAGCTTTGTGTAAAATGCCTGGACTGTGGCACATAGTTCAATATATTTTGTGAGCAGGACCTTGAGCTGGGCCCCTTGGCTAAGACGACTAAGCGACTCCATTCTTATCTAGGCCCCTTGGCTAAGAGGACTAAGCGACTCTATTTTTATCGGCAGTGGACCTTCCTTGGTATTTTTCCGATAACAGGTTGATTACCCCTTGAAGTAAAGGAACTTTGCCTAAGGTTATGGTTGACCTAGGTAATGGGATGTGTCTTGCAGTTTCTGAGTATCAGGAACTGAAAATCAAGAGCCCAGTGACTAATGCTTACTTTGGCTTCTGTAATAACCACTTTTGCACCCACTATTGTATTAGTTCCCTGAGGGGGAGCCAGAAGGGAATGTGGCTTCTGTCTTTAAAAGCAGACGAGCAAGAACATTCGGGGCTGTGATTTGGGGAGAGCCCCCGCAGCCCGCCAGTGAATAAAGCGCTCCTTTACAATTCGGCTGTGCTCTCTGGTTATCTTGCTGACACGACATGTTACAACAGTTGTATAAATAAACGAAAAGCTTCCAGCTATAAACGTATACAATCACTTACAGAATAACCTTACTTTTGTAGGGTACTTTACAAAGAGCTTTCAAATACTGTACCCATTAGATCATATCTTAATTCCTAGTTCAGCTAAAAAATTACTTGCCCTGTCTCCTACCATTCTATATATTTAGAGAGTTTTTTTTTTTTTTTTTAAATTTTTTTTTTTTTATCCTCACCTGAGGACATTTTTCCGTTTTATTTTGTTCAGGTAGAGTGGGAGGGAGAGAGAGGAACAGAGAGAGAGGAGAGAAACATCAATGTGAAAGGAACACATCGAGTGGCTGCCACCCGCACAACCGACCAGGGCCGGGTACAAACTGCAACCGAGGTACGCGCCCTTAGCGGGAACCGAACCCGGGTCTCTCAGGACCACAGGCCGACGCTCTAACCGCTGAGCCAAACCGGCCAGGGCTATTTAGAGAGTTTTAAAATTGTAATTCCATAAATTGCTAGTTCTTTTTACGATGACTCCTTCAAATCTCCTCTGTACTTTATCCAATCATGTCTTTGGTCCATCGTGCCCCTCGGGCCTGGAAATTGGAAACTAGGAATGTGGGACATGTCTAATACAAATAAGTAATCAGTAACTTTGGGGTTTTATTCCTACAGAGATAAACTGTGGGGATGAATTGGAGTTATTTTCATAGAAGTGGTATTAAGTTTTAATATGCTAATCTAGGTTTACATATGTTTGTTGTTAAATTTAGGATGGCCCCCACTTTGGAACCACTGGCAAAGAAGATCTTTAAAGGAGTTTTAGTAGCTGAATTTGTGGGTGTTTTTGGAGCATATATTTTGTTTCATAAGATGGATAAAAGCCAAGGTAATCATAAGTTAATGTTTTATAGAGAGGTATACATTGTGCTAATGCATTTTAGGTGCTAAATGGCATTTTTAGAGAAACTGCTTCTTAAGATTATTAGGTATTTTCATGGCCACAAGGGGAAACTAGGTGTTAATTATTGTAAATGATTAATTTCCTCCTAAAAAAACTGTAGACTATGGAAAATGTTTACTAGTGGGGGGGGGGGGGGCATAGAGCAGGTGTCCTTATTCTGGCTAAGTTTGGGAGCCCATGGAGCAAATGCACGCCATAGTTTGGTAGACTGAGGAGCATAGCCCAGTTGTCAGTGACGTTTCCTAGGCTCGCAGAGTTCTGTTCTGCATCAGTACCAGGCATTAAAAACCTTTTCCACGCCCTGCCTACCACTGAAAATGCTTTGACCTACTGTGGGGTGATTTTATATGGAAGCTCACAGAATTTTAATTTTTTTTTCCTTTATTGATTTTGAGAGAGGGAGAGGGAGAAATAGAAACATCGATGAAAGAGAACATTGATTGGCTGCCTCCTGCCTGCCCCCCACTGGGGACCAGGCCCACAACCTGGCATGTGCCCTGACTAGAGATCGAACCAGTGACCTCTTGGTGCATGGACTGACACTCAACTACTGAGCCTCACCGACTAGGCTAGAGAGTTCACAGATTTTTAAGTGAGGAAGTGCTGCTTTCTCTTTTACTAAAGCGGAATAGTAGTCCCCAGTGGGACGTCATTTGTTTTCTTAAAAGTACTTCCCTGAACAAACACTGTTCCATGATGCTATTGTATATTCACAAAGTCTCTATACTTTTAAGCTGTAAGTAAGGGTATAAAAGGAAACATCCAAATAGTATTTAAAAGCAAATTAAAGTTTAAGGTCAATTTAAAAAACTGAGTATTGTGCAGTTTTATTTCTAATGGTAAAATTGCATCCATAAAAATAACTTACAAAGTTACATAAGGGAATTGCATATTAACATTGAAAATTTGCTTTTAAATACTTCTAAATAAGTTACATCATACATATAGTCCCAAAATTTTAAAACTCCAAAATAAATATGAAAGGCTATATGCAAGTGCTATTTGGACCCAGGATATAGTTCCTGGATTATCAGGACCTTAAGAAACGTTTCTAATCTGTGGGATCCCTACATTATACACCCTGAGGCTAGCACAAAATTATGATTGCATCTTTTAATATAATGAATTTCTAATCATGTCTAAATTTAAGACTTTTTGTCATCAGATTTCAGGCAAACAATGAGCAAGAAATTTCCCTCCATCTTGGAAGGTATGTTTCAGGCAACCTGTTCATCTTATAGGTATTTGTAACTTTTTCCTTAAGTACAAGAAGTTTTTCAGATAACCTATAAACTAAGTAGTAATTTCTTATGACCAATTAAGGGCTAAATGACTCTATTTTGTGACGTCAATTAAAAAAATACTATTCTTTCCTATTTTTGCTCTTTCTGAGAACAGAGAGTAGAGAAAATTCTTACCTAGAGTTATCTAGATGAGAGCAGTTAGCTCATGGGCTGGATTCTTAATTCTTCCAGTGGTTAAAAATGTAGACTATGGAATGAGATATCTGAGGTGATAGAATCAAACCACAGCTTAAAATTTTAAACTAATCTCAGGTTTGCTAACATCTGGGAGCTGTTTCTTTCTGTCAAGTAGAGATAATCATGTCCACTTCACAAATTGTTGTAAGGATCAAATGAGGTAACATTATGTAATGAGCACAGTATTTGCCTAACAAATAGTGTTCATTACAATGATTAGTAAGGTGTTAGAACATCTATGTGAAATATGTAGCAATAAGGAAAAAAAGTTTGATATTCCTCAATGTTGTTTAATTTTAACATTTTTACATGATTTTATAAATGACAACTATTTTTATTTATTTATAGTTTATTACAAATCTGTTGAATATTCTGGAATGTATGGAATCAGACTACAAGATCAAGAAAAATGGTTGAAAAACAAAAGTTAGGAGTAAGTAGACTTTTAATTTATAATTTATTTAGAAAACACTCATTTTCTTTGCTTTTTAATTTTTTGAGTAGTTTTCGGCCTCTTCTTTTTGAAATTTTTCTTTTTCTTGATAATACTTTTCACATCTCTATTGTGTAGCCAGTCATCACGTTCAGCCTCCCATCGAAGCTGTTTGAGACCTTTGGGGGGAGAAGAAAGATGAGCACACCAAATTGTAGACTCTTGAAGGCCCCACAGAACATCCTACTGAGTAACAGGAACTTCTGGTCTACCAGGGCCTCCAGTTGTTTCCCATCCACTGTGCAAATCTGCATGTTTGTTACGTTCCTTCTATGTTTAATGTCAAAGATTACAGTTTTCTAAATAAAAGACTAGGACAGGAAAGGAACAGATGCTCTAAAGATTTTATTTCCCTGGACCCCTTTTTACTGGTAAAAGACCAGAAGCCAGTAAACTAGAAATATCAGAAAAAAAGAATATGTCTATAAAACTACTTAGCAAGAAAAAGAAAATCCAAGTTACTTACTTGCATTATCTTTGTTAGCCATGGCGTTCATGCCAATGTTGTCAAACTTGGATCCCATATTTTCATCCAATAGGTGTCCAAACTTAAAAAAAAAAAAAAAAAAGGTGGTGGTGGTGGGGTATGTTTATCAGAAAACTTAAAACAATGTTGATTAGCTGACTTCTTAAAATATTATGTTAGCCTTACCTCTTCAGCAGATACAAATAGATTGGAGTCACTGAAATTTCTTTTCTTCTTTTTCCTGGGTCCTAAAAGAAGTATCAGCTAAATTATTAAATTGTAAATCTCATGATTTTAGAAAAATATAAATCTTTCAATATGGTTTTGTTTAAAAAAAAATTACATTTTGGGATGAAATACACAATTGCAATTATCTTCTAGCACCATTAGGTAGCTGGCACATAAAGATAGAAATGTATTTAAGAGTTAGTGCATACTATTTTTTAAATAGTATCCTCATAGAATTGTTCAGATGACTATTATGTCTTCTTGCTTTCCAGATTTGACCACTGATCAAGGTTTACCCTATCTTATAGTATCAGGCAAGATTAAAATTCTAAAGTTGACATGGATGGATTTTGGAATATTTAAGGCAAAATGTCTAATTAAGCCAGAGGTTTTAGTCTTTGGACTAACTGTGAAGAAATTTATGGAAGGTATGTGTATTATGTTATAAATAAAGTTTTGTACTACTCAAAGTGGTTCTCTGGATATATAAACTCTATTTTTTTTTTTATCCTCACCCGAGGACATTTTTCCATTTTTTATTCAGGTAGAGTGGGAGGGAGAGAGAAGAACAGAGAGAGAGAGAAACATCGACGTGAAAGGAACACATCGAGTGGCTGCCACTCGCACAACTGACCAGGGCCCGGGACAAACTGCAACTGAGGTACGCGCCCTTAGCGGGAACCGAACCCGGGTCTCTCAGGACCGCAGGCTGACGCTCTAACCGCTGAGCCAAACCGGCCAGGGCTATAAACTCTTTAAAATAGATAAAATAGTAAAACATCCATTTTTATTACTTATTTTTAATTCACACATTTAAAACCCCAAACTGGCTAGGGCAACTCTTTGCATCTCTGACATCAATGCCTCTGGTACTACTACAGTCACTTTTTAAAAACAGCTGTACTAAGGAATAAAATTCAGCTGTTCTAAGTATATAATTCAATATGTTTCAAGGTAATTTACAGTTTTTTTCAGCTGTCATCACAATGCATTTTTATAACATTGCCATCAACTCCAAAAGATCCCTAGTGCCTATTGGTAGTAACATGCCCCTCCCCATGAAGGCTTTGCCTTTTTCAGGCTATTTTATGTAAGTGGACTCATATGATAAGAGGTTTTTCTGTATCTGGTTTCTTTCACTATGTATAACAATTGAGGCTCATCCATATTACAGCATGTATTGACACTTCATTCATTCCATTTTACTGCTGCATAATATTCCATTATATGGCTATACCACATTTTACTGTCCAATTATGAGACAGTAGACATTGGGCTGTTCCCACTTTTTGGCTATTATGAATAATGCTGCTATGAACAATTGTGTACAAGTCGTTGCTTGAATATACCAGAGCCACTTTAGATAAAATAGTTTCTAGAGCATTTCATCTTAATTTTTATCAAAGTGAAATATATGTCATTATTTAAGAACTTGTGCATGATGCTATTGTTGACTATAAATCTTAAGCTAAAATGCTCACTGGTATAAGATTAGAAAAAGTTTTGGTTTGATTTTGTTTTCATTCATCTTATAGGTATAAAGGCTGTAACTTCAATGAGTAAACACTCTTGCTGTAGTCCCTTCTTAAAGTTTCCTTAAGGTTTGATTATCCTTAGGGATATCCAAAATTTGGAAATTAAGGTGAAGCCCAAAGAATCAATCAACAAGTCTGAAATTCATTTGCCTCCTCCTTTGTTTTAATTAAGTCTGTTAGGTACACTTTAATCTGCATTCAAAACTATTATTGATTGAAATTTGAGATTTTATCAGACAACTGTCTTCTGAAACAGCACTTTATTATTAAAAATAAGGTTACTGAAAGAGCATCTTTTAATATGACAAGCTCAGCAGGACTTGAGATAAAGCAGCACTTCTTTTCTGAGAGATAATTTTGAGGAAATCTGCCTTATATTTGAGCATATGCTACTATTAAAGTGTGACCATACAGCACTCAATTGAAAACAAAATGGGGAGGACATTATAATTTAAATATGTACCAGGTAAATCAATCTAATTAAGAGGGCTGTTAGCAGTATTTGAACGAGCTGATAAAAATTTTGTAGGCATAAAAATCTCTGAGAGACTACTACTAATCTATAGTTAGTTTTTATTATTTTTGATATTTCTTGTCAACATATTTAACGTTAAAAGTTTTTAAATTTTAATAACGTACTGTCAAGTGTTTTGTTTTTAACTCTGCAAGTCTATTTTTATTCATCAGTATTTACTTGTAAGCAGAAGCTAGAGTGCAAAGCATGAAAAAAAGCACAAGCCTGTATAATTTTTAAAAGATTTTTTAAATTGATTTTTAGAGAGAAGGAAGAGGGAGAGAGAATTGTCAATGCAAAAGTGAAATGCTAATAGGCTGCCTGCTGAAAGTCCCCTACTGGGCCATAGAGCCTGCAACCCAGGCATGTGCCCTGACCAGGAACTGAACTGGCAACCTTTCAGTGCTTGGGATGACACCCAACCAATTGAGCCACACTGGCTAAGGTGCCTATGTATTTAGCTACAGAATTATAGGATAAAATGTTTAACATAGTACTGCCTATATTTCTGTCAAAAACTTAAAAGACTGTTACCTGATAGTAGTACTTCTATTACACTAATAAAATCTGTTATAACTTAAAAAATGTCAAAGAACAAATTAGCAGAAATAATTTGTATCTGTTTCGTATAACATTTCTGAGGTTAGAACTGTCATGGCAGCAAGATTGCAGGTCTCATAAGAAAGCAAAATGAAGTTAATAAAGAGCATGGATTTTCAGAAGGGTCAAATGGCAAATGGTTGAGAACAGGCAAAAGGTATCCGTGGAAAATCCAGATCTTACATATAATTGAATGGTTTAAACATAATTAGCTAGAGATATTTAGATGTGACAGGAAAGAATTTAGGAAGAAAATATAATTGAAGATGTGGGAAATAACAATTTTCACATATTAAAATAGATAAAACTGTTATTCTCCATTATAAAAACAATTTAGAAAAGTTAATTTCCCAAAATAATAATGAATAACTATCATATATACACTGCTTAGGTTTCAAAGAGACTAAGTGCGTTTTCTTACCTTGAAATGATCCAGCAAAGTCACAATCATTTGCAGTTTTCCTCTTGCTTTTCTTAGAATTGACTTTGGAGCTGACTTTATCATCATTAAGTTCTGTTACCAAAAAACGTTCTATTAAGTAATTTTAAAACAACAAGACTGCTACAGAGTTATTATGAATGGAATGTTGATTATCTTTTAGAAAATGCCAATTACTATTCTAACATTAAAAAGAGTAATGTAACAGCTCAACAGGTATTGCACAGATAGCCTAAAATAAAAGTCTAAAACTCAACACTCAAATGCTTAAAAAAACAACCTTTCAGTTTTAAATGAGAGGGGTAAAGGTCCTCTTTACATTTCTGGATGATCTTCATATTAATTTGAACACAGAGTAATATTAAAAAATACTTAACAGGAAAACTAGCCTATGCTGAGGAAGAAAGGAAGATACAGTTTGTTTCTCTCTTACATTTTAAAAATGCTTACCTTGAATGTCTTCACTCTCATCATCCAACACATCCATGAATGTTCCTCCATCTTCATCGATTTCAGTAAATTCTTCATTCATGCTTCCTAAAGAAACTTCATCATCATCCAAGTTATCAAGGTCATCATCACTATCTTCTGAATCTTCATCTTCTGGCTCACCCTTAGATCTTTTTGTTTTCTTTTTCATGTTGCTGAAGAAAAACAACTTGTAATGTAAAAGAGGACAGGACACTGTTTTCTAAAATGTGAATTGGTGACTACCAGGGTATCAGGCTATAAACAGGTTTAAAGGATAGTTACAGAAGGCTCAGAAACTTTATTTAATATGCTAATATGATGCATTGTAAAAGGTCCAAAATGAGCATAATTTCCATTTCCCAAGCTTACTCAATACTTCTACTGTTCTGAGGGACAATTTGGGAAATGCTGAAAAAACAGTTTAAAAAAATATTGAAGAAATTTATTTTACCCAGCAAAATCAAGATCATCCTTTCCAGAGGTGAAACAATTATCATCTTCAAATGTATCTGCCAGAGAACAATATATAAATTGTGAGATGTAGCAAAGAATAACAAAGTTGACATGTCTTATTTCTGAATCAATTAATAGTCATGATTCTTCTGTTTATGACACATACTCAAAAATAAGCCTGTGAATATACTGACCATAATTACATTCCTAAACTAAAATGGGTTCCAGTTAAATTCAGCTTCTTTTTCTTTTTAATGATTTTTAGAGAGAGAGTAAGGGAGAGAGAGAGATAGAAACATCGATGCGAGAGAACATCAATTGGCCGCCTCCTGCATGCCCCCCACTGGGGATCGGGCCCACAACCTGGGCATGTGCCCTGACCAGGAATCGAACCGGCGACCTCTTGGTGCATGGGTCGACGCTCAACCACTGAGCCACACTGGCCAGGCCAGCTTCTTTTTCTAATTCTTTTATAGAAAGACGGTAAATATCAAATGAAATATTTAACAACTACAGTCCTTTTCACTCTATTATAACTATTTAAGTGAACTCAATGTAAGGCTTTCTAATTTCCATGTTTTTTTGTTTCAGTCTAAATTTCAATTAAAATATTTTAGTTCGCCTGGCTGGTGTGGCTCAGTGGATTGGGCGTTGTCCCATGGACTGAGAGGTCCTGGTTCGATTCCCCGTCAGGGCACATGCCTGGGTTTCCGGCTTGATCCCGGGGCGGGGGCGGGGGCGGGGGGGGGGGGGAGGGCGACAGCGTGTGGGAGGCAACTGATCGATGTTTCTCTCTCTCTCTCTCTGCCTCTCTTTCTAAAAAATCAATAAAAACATATTAAAAAATTTTATTTTAGTTCTGTGCAATATAATGGTAAGATAGATGAAATAGTATACTATTGATACCAATAATGCAAAGAGATTAGGAACAGCAAAAATGGTTTTCCTTTTATAAGAGATTTGGCCTTAAGAATGAATATACTCATGCACATATAATTTTTTTCTCCATGAACTGTCAAAGAACAATCACATATTTTTCTGCAGCAAATGTAGGTGAAATTCCACATCCCCACCAAATATTTAACCCTTCATTGTGATTTGCATGGTATTCTTAAATGATTTGTTAAAATAAAGACACTTCTACCTACAACTAATACTTCATAGTTCTATAAATAAATAGTAATGTATTATTTTACAAATTGAAGAGTCAACAAATTACCAATCATCTTTTCAAATTCCTCATCATCCACATCTTCTATACTTTCTTCATCTGCATTCCGTTTCTGTTTCTCTTTAACAATAGCAACTTTTTTATAATACCTAAAATAAGATTCATGTTATCTATTTGATAATTTTACTGAAGGGCCCACTTTACTATAATCAAAGTATCTATGACCAGTGGCTGAAACAAGCGTC